AAAATCATATAATACTTGCATTACAACTATACTACATCTTAATTTTTGGCTTTTAAATGCTTTAAAGCTTAAACACTTTATATTACCAGAATACTTTATACTAGCAAAATGCAGACTCACTATTTAACTATTTAGTACACAGGCTGGAAATAGCGATGAATTTGACATGCCCCACGTCTATACCTACTCTGTCCTTAAGTCAAACACTTTTCTACCTGTAGTGTTAAAATACAATATTAAAAAATGACTAACAATAAATGCTACTCCGACTATTAGAAAAAGCATTGAAAAAATACAAAATTTTATGATAATACATAATATAGTACAGAAATGACATTTTTACACACATGAGCAAGAGAATTAAAGGAGCATTTTTAACATTCACTATTCAAAAAAGAAAAGCTACTCAGTGATAGAAAAAGATTTTTAAAAAAAGACAAACTGAACAAACTTTTCAAAAGACAGTAGACTCTACAACAAGTAATTATTTTGTGACAAAAGAAGTCCATTGAAACATGAAAGAGAACTGGGAAGTACCCGGTACATTTTAGGAATGCTCAGACCTTATAAATGTGAGCCTAAGATGGGTTTTCCTTTTTGTGGCTTGTTGCCAAAGCAACCAAGAAAGCTACAGTCTTTGGGGGGAATTTGAAATAAAAAGGTTAAAGATAGGAGGAGGTAATCAAAGTTTTATATGAGGAATTAAGAATAATGTATACAATGTTGCAAGAAGGGAAACATAAGGATACAAATTGAACAGAAAAACAAGCAGCAACTTCCTAGTGACAGTGCAATTTACTAACAAGAAATACACATTCCTGGTTCTATTACCCTCAGGACTCTCCCCCGATTCCCCCATCCCAAACACCAAAGTAATACTACCACTCTCCTCTCATTCACTATCACTGTTTATAAAATATAAACCACTGGGTATGTTCAGAAGCATATTAGGAAGGAAATAATAGGAAGTCATAGCTACCAACATCCTTACTCCAACACCAAATAATAGGAAGTCATAGCTACCAACATTCTTACTCCAACACCAAATAATAGGAAGTCATAGCTACCAATATCCTTACAACACCAAATAATAGGAAGTCATAGCTACCAATATCCTTACTCCAACACCAAATAATAGGAAGTCATAGCTACCAACATCCTTACTCCAACACCAAATAATAGGAAGTCATAGCTACCAACATCCTTACTCCAACACCAAATAATAGGAAGTCATAGCTACCAATATCCTTACAACACCAAATAATAGGAAGTCATAGCTACCAACATCCTTACTCCAACACCAAATAATAGGAAGTCATAGCTACCAATATCCTTACTCCAACACCAAATAATAGGAAGTCATAGCTACCAACATCCTTACTCCAACACCAAATAATAGGAAGTCATAGCTACCAATATCCTTACTCCAACACCAAATAATAGGAAGTCATAGCTACCAATATCCTTACTCCAACACCAAATAATAGGAAGTCATAGCTACCAATATCCTTACTCCAACACCAAATAATAGGAAGTCATAGCTACCAATATCCTTACTCCAACACCAAATAATAGGAAGTCATAGCTACCAATATCCTTACAACACCAAATAATAGGAAGTCATAGCTACCAATATCCTTACTCCAACACCAAATAATAGGAAGTCATAGCTACCAATATCCTTACTCCAACACCAAATAATAGGAAGTCATAGCTACCAATATCCTTACTCCAACATCAAATAATAGGAAGTCATAGCTACCAACATCCTTACTCCAACATCAAATAATAGGAAGTCATAGCTACCAACATCCTTACTCCAACACCAAATAATAGGAAGTCATAGCTACCAATATCCTTACTCCAACACCAAATAATAGGAAGTCATAGCTACCAATATCCTTACTCCAACACCAAATAATAGGAAGTCATAGCTACCAATATCCTTACAACACCAAATAATAGGAAGTCATAGCTACCAATATCCTTACTCCAACATCAAATAATAGGAAGTCATAGCTACCAACATCCTTACTCCAACATCAAATAATAGGAAGTCATAGCTACCAACATCCTTACTCCCAACACCAAATAATAGGAAGTCATAGCTACCAATATCCTTACTCCAACACCAAATAATAGGAAGTCATAGCTACCAATATCCTTACAACACCAAATAATAGGAAGTCATAGCTACCAATATCCTTACAACACCAAATAATAGGAAGTCATAGCTACCAACATCCTTACAACACCAAATAATAGGAAGTCATAGCTACCAATATCCTTACTCCAACACCAAATAATAGGAAGTCATAGCTACCAATATCCTTACAACACCAAATAATAGGAAGTCATAGCTACCAATATCCTTACTCCAACATCAAAATCTCCCTGTGACTCAAAGAAGTGTTGAAATACAAACACCAACAGTATTTGGTCTTTTTTTTTTTTTTGAGACGGAGTTTCGCTTGTTACCCAGGCTGGAGTGCAATGGCGTGATCTCAGCTCACCACAACCTCCGCCTCCTGGTTCAGGCAATTCTCCTGCCTCAGCCTACTGAGTAGCTGGGACTACAGGCACGCGCCACCATGCCCAGGTCTTAAGGTCATATATAATGATACATCCCAAGCCTTACTAAACTTGCCAGCATACTAGGTCTCGACATTCCCTTACACCATACTCGTAAAAAAATATATAACAAAAGTGTTATTCAGTGGTCTGAGGTGGTCAAAGATAAAGCAGAAAAATGAGGGTTGGGTGCCGTAGCTTACACCTGTAATCCCAGCACTTTGGGAGGCTGAGACGGGCAGATCACAAAGTCAGGAGATCGAAACTATCCTGGCCAACATGGTGAAACCCGATTTCTACTAAAAATACAAAAATTAGCTGGGTGTCATAGTGCACACCTGTAATCCCAGATACTCGGGAGGCTGAGGCAGGAGAATCGCTAGAATTCGGGAGGCGGAGAATGCAGTGAGCTGAGATCGCACCACTGCACTCCAGTCTGGTGATGGAGCCAGACTCTGTCTCAAAAAAAAAAACAGAAAAAGAAAAATGAAAAGCAATAATGCACAACAGAAATCAAAGTAAAAAATGCCTAAGCCTAAAATCACAGTGATAAAGTGAAGGTCATATATTAATAAAGTGTCAAAAGAGATGGATGGATAACCATAAAATCACAGTGCACACCATGGAGCAGTAGGGGGGTTCCTTGGGAGAACATTAAGGAATGGTCAACCAAAGGCAATATATGTTCTGAATTAGCATTAGTAAAAAAAGCTTTAGGTTGGTTTTCATGCTGTGATCAAAAATATGACATTTAAAGTAAATTCAATTGGCACTGAAGAAAACACAAATAGCATAAAAGAAATGGGAACAGCCTGGAGAATCAAAAGTAATGAGATGGCACATTTCACTTCCATTGGAAACAGCTACTCCTCCTGGATTTCCATAGCATTTCATGTCACTCTTGTAGTCTTATGTCATCATTTTTATTGACATATTTTATCCCCCACAGATAAACTATACTCTCCTCAAGGGTAACACTGTGTCTGCTTCATCTTTGCAAAACTCAGGGCATTTACTCAGTCAACAAATATTAAATATGTAACACGTGCCAGACACCACACTACAAACTGGCACTAAATACCTACTGTTTAAATGAATGTTGATAAGGCAGAAAAATAAAAGTTCAAAAAAGGATCCAAATAAATTCATGTCCAAGAATTATAATTTCACAGGAAATTCAGATGGGAAACGACAAACATTCTAATTGGAATTTTAGTATCACTAGATACATCTAGGCTACCTGTGTGCGGGCCTACAGATTCACAACAGTACTTCCTCTGCATGGTCCACCAAGTGTCCTAAGCATTTCCACACATATTTATTCTCTTACGCCCAAAATGAAATTAACAGTAATGATTTAACAGCCCATAATCTTAAAGGCCCCTAAATAAGACCTATGAGATGTGTCTTAGTGAGTGGCAAGCCGTTTTAATGGTCTGATACACTCATTTATTGAAGTGCTCAGTACCTAACATAATGTTGGGCCCTGGATTTTGAAAAGATGATCAAGACACTCCAGGAGCCTTCCAAGAATGCAAACAAAAGTTTAGCATATGTGGGGGAAAAGTAGGAGTGTTTATGTAAAATAACTGACTTGAAATTCAAATGCCAACAACGTAAAAAAGGTGCCATAATAAATTTTATTTAGATGGTTTTAGTCCCTGTATCATCTTCAAGGTGTTGAAAGGGTTCCCCCATCCTCGATATATTTGACTCTTTTTAAAAAGCTCCTAAAACGTCCACCACTCCCACTCCACTCCCACCCCAATCTTCTGGGAGGTGCAGAGGGGGAATGCACAGCGGATAATTTGAAATTGGTTTGGTTTCGTTTCTTTTAAGAAATAGACCAGAATGGGAAGGCAGAACAAAAATCGAAAACCGATGTGTGCCTTCAAACCCACAGTCCTTCTACCAGCTCATTGCAGATTCCTGTATTTGAGGCTGGGCCACGCACAGGTGGTTGAAAGTATCCAGAGTGTGAAAACACAATCTGCAACTCGTGACAGGAGTCTCCGGACTCCAAGGCCTTCCACCCCAAAGTCCAAGAAACAGACGCCTTTCTCAGTGAGTGCAGCTAAAGTAAAACAATAAACAAGCATTTTGGAAATCAATGAACACACCTTCACCTGGTTTTCTCTACCAAACCCAAACAGCGTACTTTAAGGGCCGGGGACTCTAATAGAAGGTGTTGCCCCTAAAGAAAAGACTGAGGCTGGGCTCCTCCCTCTATAGCTAACCCCAGAAAAAAAAGACGGGCGGGGAAATTGCGGGGGCCCTGGGGAGGGGTTAGGGCCCTGGGGAGGAGCTGCGGGAGGCAAGGAGGGAAGGGGAGGGAGAGCAGGGTGAGACCCAGCTAACCCTTCACCCTTCCAAAACGAAGGTCGAGCCGCTGCCCCCCGTCCCCAGACCCTGCCTCCTGCCTCCCTCACCTGATCACAGAGATGAGCAGCCCCGAGGGGTCTTTGCTTTTGCTGACTGTGCTTCTGTATTTCCCACCAGCTGCTTCCGCCGCCATCTTGGACGTGGGGAGAGCCGCTGGGCTCCAAGGAAGCCAAGTGTGCGTAAATTCTGTATTTGACCCTGAGTCTCCACCAATGGATGAAGAGTATTCCAGAGGCACGGAAGGGTAAAACCCAATCACTGAAGGGAGGAGGCGGGACTAAGGGAGCAAGTTTCGGGGCCGCGATGTGCGTGTTTGTTCTAAGCACTCTGGGAATCGTAGTTTTCCTTCTGCGTCTCCTGGACGGTCAGGAAAGCTAAATCAGCTGCAACTTCCTAAGTCTTATAATGAGTATCTTCATTTATCTTTATTCTGACTTCGAGCTTTTTTCGGCTTCCTTGCTTTTAGAATTTTGTCAGGCTTTAAATCAAATTATCTGATGATGCCAAATGTGTGAGGGTGTGCATTTAAATGAAAGAGGGTGTTCTCTGCTGAATGCCTATGTGCGAAGTTTGCCTTAAGCACAAGTGATTTTTTAAAAATTCAGTCAAATGCGAAATGAATATGAGCAGAAATGCTTTTCTTTATTCTGTAAAACTAATGTTTCTACATTAGGTTTATGTGTGACTTCAATTTTTCCCAATGCTTATATATTTCCAGATAGTCCTAAAAGCACATGCACAGGAATGAACAAATGAATATTGATAAAGAAAAGACAGTATTTCTCATTCATAAGTGGCAGTTGAACAATGACAGCACATGGACACAGGGACGGGAATATCACACACCGGGGTCTGTCAGAGGGTCAGGGGCTAGGGAAGAGAGAGCATTAGGAAAAATACCTTATGCAGATTATGGATTGATGGGTGCAGCAAACCACCATGGCAAGTGTATGCCTATATAACAAACCTGCAGGTTCTGCACGTGCATCCCAGAACTTAAAATATAATTTAAAAAGAAAGAAAGACAGTACAACTGAAAAACAAACAGTCCACATTACAGATTCCTTTTTTCCATGCTAAATGAAAAACAGTAATAATGCACATTTGTGTTAATACTTTTACTGGTAATTTGTTGGTATTTCCTGCATTTGGCTCCAATAGCTTAGTCATTAATTCATAAGCTCAAATGAACAAAACAAACAAGATCTGAATGTGTGTGGAAAATGGTTAGACTGAGGAACAAGAATAATAACAAAAATTTAAAAGGAAGGAAGGAGATGGTCTGCTCAGTAGCAATAAAGATTGAATAACTTAAATGAATGGAAAGCAAACTAACTTAGAGGTCCTGGAGTTGTAGAGCAGCAAGCTCAGAGCACATCAACTACTTTTATTAAATAGACATCAAGCTGGTAGAAGTCCACATTTTTAAAAATTAGTCAAAAATTAGACACACACACACAGATACACATATATATATGATACGATAACTTAAAAATATTCATAGCCTTTGGCCTAGTTCTAGTGACTTTGTTCCTAAAGAAATAAAAATAGAGTAATGAAATTTTTGAAATAACACAGTATCAAATAAATCATGTAACATTAAAATGAGGAAATAACAACAGCTTCTAGAAATCATAATTTTAATGGCTCTTAAAGAAAATAAGATTTTTGGGTCAGATGTGATGGCTGACGCCTGTAATCCCAACACTTTGGGAAACCAAGCCAGGCGGATCACTTGAGGCCAGGAGTTTGAGGCCAGGAGTTTAAGGCAAGCCTGTCCAACATGGTGAGACCCCATCTCTACTAAAAATACAAAAATTAGCCAGACCGTGGTGGCACACCTGTAATCCCAGCTACTCAGGAGGGTGAGGAATGAGAATTGCTTGAATCCAGGAGGTGGAGATTGCAGCAAGCAAGATTGTTTCGCTGCATGCTGCACTCCAACCTGGGCAACAGAGGAAAACTCTGTCTCAAGACATCTATTTATATATATATTTTTTAAAGATTTTTATGGTATAAGTGCAAAAAGTGTGCTATAAAATTAAATAATTCATACAGAAAGGGAGAGGTAGCTGGGCCTAGTGGTGAAGAATTCAGGCCGTAGGATAAAAAGTGTGATCATCTCAACTGATCCAGAAAAATGCTTTGTCAAAATCCAAAACACCCTCACAATAAAAACACTCAGAAAACTAGGGATAAAAGGGAACTTCTTATAGACTATCAAGGGTACTTATAAACAACCCACAGCAATCATCATAGCTGATGAAAAACTAAAAGCATTCCCAGTAATAGTAGAAACAAGAAAAGGATAACCATGTTTTGCCACATCTATTCAACCAAGTACTGCAGTTATAGCCAGAGAAATGAGGCAAGAACATGAATGAGTCATCCAAATCGGAAAGGAAGAAATAAAACAATATCTATTTGTAGAAGATATGATCTTATATATAGAATATCCTAGATAGTACACACAAAAAACTATTAGAGCTAATAAAATATTCAGCAAAGTTGCAGAATACAAAATAACAACAACAGAAAATCAGTGGTATTTCTGTAAACTGGCAATAAACAATCCAAAAGGAAATTTACACAACAATTCCATTTTCAACAGCAGCAAAAAGAATAAAATGCCTACGAATAAACTTAGCCATGGAAGTGAAAAATTTATACACTGAAAGCTACAAAACATTGCCGAAAGACATTAAAGCAGACTCAAATAAGTGGAAAGACATCCATGTTCACGGGTTGGAAAACTCCCCAAATATTTTTAAGATGGCCAAACTCCCCAAATCTATCTACAAATTCAATATAATTACAATCAAAATTCAAGAGGCTTTTTTGCTGAAACAGAAAAACTGATCCTGAAATTCATATGGAAATGAAAAGAGCCCCAAATAGCCAAAGCAATCTGAGGGGCGGGGGTGGAAAATCAATGTGGAGGTCTCCTACTTCCTGATTTCAAAACTTATTTAAAATACACAGTAATCAAAATAGCATGGTACTTGCATAAAAATAAACACACAGATAAACATAATAGAATAAGCCATACAGAAGTAACTTTGATTTTCATTGTTTTTTCTTTTTCTTTTTTTTTTTTTTTTTTTTTTTGAGACGGAGTTTCGCTCTTGTTACCCAGGCTGGAGTGCAATGGCGCGATCTCGGCTCACCGCAACCTCCGCCTCCTGGGTTCAGGCAATTCTCCTGCCTCAGCCTCCCGAGTAGCTGGGATTACAGGCACGCGCCACCATGCCCAGCTAATTTTTTGTATTTTTAGTAGAGACGGGGTTTCACCATGTTGACCAGGTTGGTCTCGATCTCTCGACCTCGTGATCCACCCGCCTCGGCCTCCCAAAGTGCTGGGATTACAGGCTTGAGCCACCGCGCCCGGCCTCTTTTTCTTTTTTTGAGACAGAGTCTCATTCTATTGTCCAGGCTGGAGTGCAGTGGCTCAATCTCAGCTCACTGTACCCTCTGCCTCCCAGATTCAAGCAATTCTCATGCCTCAGTCTCCGGAACAGTTGGGATTACAGGCACGCACCACCACACCCAGCTAATTTTTGTATTTTTATTAGAGATGGGGTTTTCCCATGTTCGCCAGGTTGTTCTTGAACTCCTGACCTCAGGTGATCTGCCCACCTTGGTCTCCCAAAGTTCTGGGATTACAGGTGTGAGCCAACTCATCCAACCGATCAATTGATTTTCAATAAGGGTGACAGTGCCATCCAGTAAGGAAAGAAAAGCCTCCTCAACAGATATGCATAAGCGAAAAGGTAAAAATGGACCCTACTTCATACAACATGCAGAAATTAACTAAAAATGAATCAGAGACCTAAATATAAGAGATAAAACTCTTAGAACAAAATATAAGGATAAATTTTCATGATTCTTAGCTACAGATCAAAAGCTTAAGCAACAAAAGACAAAAATAGATATATTGGCCTTTATTAAAATTAAAAACCCTTATACATCAAAGTACACTATCAAGAAAGTGAAAAGACAGCCATAGGATGGGAGAAATAAAACCAAATTATATACAGTATTTGATAAGAATCCTGTATTTAGAATATATTTAAAACCCCTTACAACTCAGCACAAAAGGAAATAAAAATTAAAACCTGAGCAATGGACTTGAATAGACATTTCTCTAAAGTAGATACACAAATGGCCAAGAAGCACATGAAAAGCTGCTCGACATCGTTAGTCATCATAGGAAAATGCAAAACCGTAATGAGATACCACTTCACACCCACTGGGTAGGTTACAATTTTTTAATGGAAAATAAATGTTGGCAAGTATGTGGAGAAACTGAAACCCTTGTACATTTCTTTTGGGAATGTGAAGTGATTCAGTCATAGTGGAAAATAATTTGGTGATTCCTCAAAAATTAAATGTAAAGTTACCATATGACCCAGCAATTCCACTCTTAGGTGTGTACACAAGAGAATTGAAAACAAGTGTTCAGAAAATAACTTGTACATGAACAGTCATAAAATCACCATTCAAAATAGCCCCAAGGTGGAAGCAATACAAATATTCAACAATCGATGAAGTGCGACAATATGAGGTGTATGAGTGTGGTGTAAACAAAATGTGCTGTCTTCGTACAATGTAATATTATTTGCACATAAAAATGAATAAAGTACTGATATATGCTACAATATTGATAAATCTTGAAAACAGGCTAAATGAAAAAAGCCAGACACAAAAGACAGTATCATGTATGATCCCATTCATCTGAAATACCCAGAATGGGCAAATTCATAAAGGCAGAAAGCAGATCAATGGTTGCCAGGGGCTACAGGGTAGGAAGAAATGGGGAATGACTGCTTAATGGATACAGGGTTTCCTTTTGGGGTGATGAAATGTTCTAGAACTACAGTCGATGGTCGCACAGCTTGTAAATGTATTAAAGGTCAGTGAATTACAAACTTTAAAGTAGTTAAAAATCATAAATTTTATGCTATGTGTTTTTTAACCACACCTTTAAAAAGGCAAAGAATGCAAGCCAGGCGTGGTGGCTCACGTCTGCAGTCCCAGCACTTTGGGAGGGCATGAGGTTGGGAGTTCTAGACCAGCCTGACCAACGTGGGGAAACCAGATCTCCACTAAGAATATATAAAAATTAGCTGGACATGGTGATGCAAGCCTATAATCCCAGCTACTTGGGAGGCTGAGGCAGGAGAATCACTTGAACCTGG